AAGATTGGAAGTCTGAAGTTTTGTGTGGAAAGCCCAAAACACAGCCAGGCTTCCCCAGGGACCAGGAGAAGCTGAAACCGACTGAGGAACTCCTGGGTGGGCACACAGGCTCTGGGGATGGCCAGTAATGTCCCTTCCCTCTCAGGTGACACAGCTACATCATTTTAAGGATGCTTTAGGCTGTGCCTCTGTGGTGATGATTTTAAATTAGAGTGCCCTGCTTTGTACTTAAATGGTGCAGGAGCTTTGCAGAGCTCAGCTGAGGGTGAATGAATCTGTGCAATTCCTGAAGTGAATGCAGGCTCGAAAACGCCTTGGTCTGAGCTTTCTCAGACACAAAGAAAACTACTCCCCTTGTTTTCCACTAATATTTCAGGCACAGACCAATGCAAAAACTATAAAACCACAAACTGAGTTAATTTTACATTTAAGAAATCCAAGGCCAGAAGGGATCAGTTAATATAATTACTTGTATGATGTTGTGTAACTAAGTAGCTTTTGTTTGGAACCAAAGAAACTTGTATTTGCTTTTGGAAATATATTCTGTCTCACTTGACATTAAAAGGAAATTCATTACTTCTTCCAGAGTCTAATTTCAATCCTTTTCCTTCTCATTACAGATAATCTGGACCTACTATCTAGGTCTTGGCACTTAAGGCTCTACTTTACTGGCTTAAAAGACTTCTTGAAGCCATGAGTTCCTCAGCTGCTGAGCTGTAGAATGTGTCATGCAATATAGGCAGCGTAACTAATCACCCTCAGTCATCATCTTGTTTAACTGAATTAGCTTAAGGCCTCATGCTCTGAGGTTTATTTTCATGTTTGAGTGTTTTCTGAACCAGCTTGGATTTTTTTTTTTAACCTCCTTAAAATGCAGTGCAATGAATTTCACTTGCTGAAAATGTATATATAATAAATGTATATAATGAAATGCTAATATTGTGTAGGGAGCTAAAATACCATGGAATGAGACTCTTTTTCCTCCTTTGCTTTTCCTTTATCTTGGCTTATGAGAGGCCTAAAGGGGACAATTTAGAGACACTGTCCATTTAGATAGCTGTGCACTCAGGAATTTGGTAGAGGATGCAACTTGGAACAAGGCATCTCACAAAAAAAAAAAAAAAAAAAAAAATAAAAAAAAGAGATTGTTCTCATCTCCAGAGAAAAGAGCAAGTGACTTGGACAAAAGTTTGGGTGTGTTCCAGCATCTGAACATGGGAGCTGTAAAAGGAGGAGCAGTCAGGACTGGAGAGCTGCTGCTGTGAGAGTGTGCAGACCTGTGCTTGGACATGGGCCCAAAAATGGGGAAATCCTGAACCTGGGCTCCAGCAGCTGGAGCTGTCAGGAGTGGGTGGCCCCTTGGGGATGTGGAGTTGTTGCTGTGGAGAGTTTAGCACAACGGGGCAGGACTCTGGCTGCCAGGATTAACCAACACTCACTCCAGCACCTCTCATAGGAACAAATCCTCTTTTTTTGTGACTTTTTTGGTACCATTCTGCTAACAGCAGCATCGTGGATGGTAAGAAATGTAAACTGTGTTACAGACAGGAGCCAATTGCCTGCTTAGCAGGGATTTCCTGCATGATATCTGTGCACCCCCAGACCTGCTGCTGAGGCCTGGGTTGGTTTTTTCTTCTGTCATTTTAATTGGAATAGAAACTGAGACGTTCATTTGGAGAGGGAGACTCTGCAGAGAGCTGTAGGATACTTACTAGTGGGAGATGAAAGAAGATGTAAGTCGATTGGTGTGATTTAAAAGCTTGATCTTGTCTGCTGGCCAGAGGCTCTGATAAAAAACCTGGTACATGTAGGGAAGAGGCTTCAACTCCAGGTCCTCCCAGCTGATCCAGTCTAACAAGGAGCATTTTTCCCTTGTAACAGGTGTGAGTGACATGCAAAGAGAGGGGAAAATGAGCCCTTCTTTCTGTTATTCTCCACCTGCATATCAAACGAGAGGAGTCTTTTTAGAATGCTGCCTCTCTCCTTTTACAAGGCACTGCACTGTCAGATCAGATGGTCTGTCTGTATTACTTTGGAATGGAAAAGAATAAAGGCAGTTTCTATAAAGAAGGACTTGAAAAGTCTTCCCTGGTTTTTCATCAGAGCTGTTGGAAACCTTCCTTCCCCACGCTGCCCCTTTCCCAGTGCCACCCCCAAAATGCTCACCTCTTCCTGCCTTTGTCAGCCAAGTGTCAGATTTGACACCTTTGCAGTAAGGTACAGAAATGCTAATGGACAAATCCAGCAACACCTAATCAGGGGATGTAAACATTCTGTGAACCTAATTTGTGGATGTAAAAAAAAAAAAAAAAAAAAAAAAAAAAAAAAAAAAAAAAAAAAAGAAAAAGTAATATTTCTAACACATTTCTAAAATACTTTTGACACTATTGGAGAACTCCTCAAAGTACTGTTCTGACCTGGCTTTTCTTGTCAGCCAGAACAGCACTGGTAAGTAAGCTGTAAGCTCAGGGCAAAGGGCTGTAATGCCCCTGCTCTTCCCCAGCTTTGGGAGAGCAGCTGTCCAGGTGTCCTCACAGCCCCACTGCCTGTTTTCCCTGCAGCAGAGGGAACGGGATGTGCCCAGGTAGGCTCCCCTGGCTGTGGGTAGGGCAGCAGCACAAGCAGGAATGGGAAAAGCAACAGGAGCAGGAAGACCAGCTTTGAGCTTTGGACCATTCTCCAAGGCCAGCAGAGGGAAAGTTGAGCACCACATCTGCAGTGTTGACTTTGCTTCGAGCTGCCCCAATTCCTGGCACTTTTATGTTGACTTCGGGCTGTGTTTCTGTCACCAAAGTGTCAGGATTTGCACTTGCTTTCACAGGAGCATTACTAAGAGCCCTAACACAAGGGCCTTTCTTCTCATGGAGATGAAGCCAAGCCAAGGTGCCTCTGGTGCTCCTGCAGCAGTGGAGAGGCTGCCTGGGGCCAGGCTCAGCCCTGGGTGGCCCTGCTGAAGCCACTGAGCTCAGGCAGGGTCTGAGTGCTGCTGTGAGCCACAGGCTGAGCTGTGCCTGCTGCTGTCACGTTAAGGAACTGGGCTGTGGCTTCAGGCCCCTCTCAGTGCCTTTTCCAGCTGTTAGACATGAGGGGTTCTGGCTGAGCAGGGTCACAAGATGGGGTGAGGGGCTGTGTGTGAACTGGGCTTGGAGTTACAGGGAGCTTTGAACTAAGAGGGGAGACTGACTTATCAAACAAGACGTGAGGCCTGAGGAAAATTGACATAAATAAACCTGGACTTGGGCTGGAGAGGTGCAGCCTCAGTCCCAGAGCTCAACGGGGTGTATGGGGTGTCAGTTTTAGTGCAAGTGTCCCAGGCTTCATTTACACTTCAAACCCCTCACCTCCCTCCCTAAAGCACAAGGGTCACTACAGGGGCTTTCACCTCCCCTCACTCAGCTCATTTTTACCCCTCTCCTCTGGTTCAAAGGGAATTTAGCTCCAAAGGGAGGAGAAGGACCAAACATTCTGATATTTGAACAAGAACACCCACCTCAGGTAAAGAAAATTACAATGGAAAGGCCTTGCCAGTGCTTCACTTTCTATTTTTATCATTCTGTGGGGTTACTAACAAAAGGTACAGGTCTAGTCCCTTGGTCATTGAGTTGCTTCCTTTCTTACTTGCTCTATGTTTGGAAACTTCCATGTATTAAGACATTTTACAATCTCTTTTTTTCCCTCTTCACAACAAAAAGGTATTGTATCACAGAATAACCTGGCATCTCCCCAAAGCAGGAACGGGAAGGGGGTCAAACCTCGTGGATAAGAATGCTGAGGGTCCCCCTCCAAGCCCCCAGAAACATTTAAGAACACTTTCCACACGCACTGCACACTCTCTTATTCAATGGAGTCCTTTTCTGCTCTCCAACAAAAAAAAAACCAAACAACCCAAAAAGCAAACCACCCCCCTGTGAAGTTATGCCCCAGGACAGGATTTGCCTAGCACTTGTGAAGTTAGGGCTGTGCATGTGTGAGCAATGCCTTCAGATGGCAGAGCAAGTAGAGTAGGTTTGAGACTGGCATCCAGACCAACCAGCCCCAGACTCTGTGGCCCAAGACCAACCTCAGCCAGTATGACCTGGCTCCTGCAATAAACTTAAGTGTCAACTGGAATTGAACAAAAGAAATATTTGAATTCCAACAATTAAGTTAACAATGCTTAAGTACGAGAATTAAGTGCTTAATTACCAGCATTGTTTCCATTATATAACACATATTGGTGTTAAGAGCCAACAAGAGGGAGCTGTATTTTTAGTGTTTCTAAACGGGTTTGAAGCGCATCACTTTACACAATATACTACACCACGTTGTGAATTCAGGGTTTTTTTTATTAAAGATTAAAAATAAAAAACATTTGACACCCTAATATACATAAAGTCACAACAAACTCAAGTGTGCTAAAAGCAAAATGTGCATAAAGACACTCATTTCTAAAAGGCACCCTGCCACCAACATCTTTTAAAATGCTTGTCTAATTCCACCGGGTATCTAAGTTTTCTCTCCCTTCCCTAAAGGTGAAACTTCAAACTGCTACCAGGTACAGACGCTACCCCCACTGACATCTCTCAGGGGTCTGTGCTATCACTAGAACGTTTAAAACCGTGCATGCAGACGTAGCTTCAGCTTCTCCGGGAATTGACTATCGTGATGTAAAATGTACAAGGGCTTTTTCTTAAAGGGTAGTGGTGTTTGGGCCACTTCTAAGGGCCAAGAAGAAAGAGACAGGGTTATAAAATAACTGCTGTGTCTCCACCAGAGCTTTGCTACTACAAACCGACTCCCTCCTCCCCCCATCCTCTCGTAAGAACAACCCCTAAAGTTACCAAATGTCACACACGCACGCTCACAGGGATGAAATGTTAACGCGTTCGCTATTAGGCTGTCAGGGTGTGACAGCGTCCGAGTGCCCGAGTCCCGCAGCCACAGCGCTCCCACGGACACGCTGCACACACGGGGCACCCTGCCCTCCCCACAGGCAGCTCCGCGCTGGCTCCTCTCCGCTCTTACCAGGGTCTCCACATGGATCTGGGCGAGCCGGGCGAGGCCAGGCCCTGCGTCTGGGACGCGTCCAGTCCGTCCGTGGAGGTCTGGCCCGGCTCGGCCTCCGCCTCGTCCGAGTCGGAGCAGGTCTCTTCGCTGGGGCAGGGCGAGAGCGCCGGGGCGGGCAGGGCCGGGCCCGGCCGGGCTCCGGCGGGCAGGGCCAGCGCCTCTCCGGCGGGCCAAGGGCCGAGCGCGGGCTCCCCCAAAACGTCCGTGATCGAGTCCGGGCAGCCGCCCTCGCTGAGGGGCATGGACTCCAGCAGGTGGTTGAGCAGCTCGGCCGCCGTGGTGGCGTCGATGCCGGGGCAGCTGGAGACGAAGGTGTGCACCTCGTGCATGCACTGGATGTACCCGGCGGCGAATCGCTCGCTGGCCTCCAGGAGCCGCCGCCCGCCCCCTGCGCCGCGGGGACAGAGAGGGGCGCGGGTGAGGCGCGGCCCGGGCAGGGCCCCCCGCCGCCCCCCGGGCCGGCACTCACCGCGGGCGCGGCGCTCCAGCACGGCCCGCACCCGCCGCACCGTCCGCTCCAGAACCTCTGCGTTCTCCAGCTTCGCCTGAAACTGACCCGGGGCGCCGCGGCCGTCAGCGCGGCCCCGAGCCCCGCCGGCCCCCGCCCCGCCGCGCCGCCGCCTCACCTCGCTGTCGGCCAGCAGCAGCCGCAGCTCCCGCAGGCTCTCGTTGATGCGCGCCCGGCGCTTCTTCTCCACCAGCGGCTTCCTCGTCTGCGGGGACAACAGCGCCGTCAGCCCGTCCACCCCCCCCGGCCCGGCCCCCGCCCGCCGCGGCCCCCGCCCGCTCACCCTCCGGTCGACGTGGGGCTCCGCGCAGCCCTCACCCCGCGGCGAGCGCTCCCCGCCCGGCGCCATGGCCGCGCCACCGCTCGGCTCGCTCCGCGCCGCTACCGCCCGCGCCGCCCTTTTATAGCCCGCGATTTGCATGTCAATGAGCCCATTGGCCGCGGCGCGCGGGCAGCGCCGAGCGTTGGCCGAACGGGCCAATGGAAGCCGCGCGCTTTGTCTGCGGCGGGGCGGGGCCTCGGGGGGCGGGGCCCCGGGAGCGGGACGTGCGGAGCCCCGGCGGCAGCGTGAGGGGCCCGGGGCGGCGGTGAGCCCCAAAGCGGGCCCGGAGCCTCGGCATCGCCGTGCGAGCAGCTTTGGTGCTCGTGGAACGGAGGGCACGGTGGGGCCGGCCAGCTGTCAGCTCTGACCTAGGCGTGAAAGAGTCAGAGCCGTGACCGGGAAGCCGTGGGGCTGAGCAGGCACAGCCGGCCACGGAGCCGTCCTGCCGTGCCCCCGTGGCAGCGGCCGGGGCGGCTCTCGGGGTGTGCGAGCCAGCCCGGGAGGATGCGCTGTTTGCGACGGTGTCGCAGGGCTGTGCGAGGCGCATCCCCTGCCCCGGGGGCTGCTCGCCCGCCCGGTGGCCACGGGCAGCTGGGCCCGGAGCGCTCGGTGCCGGGCCCGGCGCTCCGCAGCCCTCCGCTTCCCCGGCTGAAAGAGCCGGGCGGCTTTGTGCGGGTAACTTGATGCTGATGACAGTTGGCAGCTGCAGTTCCCCCAGCAGACTGAGGCAAATAAAAGCATTAGGGCTCGTCCCCGAGGAGAGCGACAGGTGTTCGCTGCCGCTCCTTTGTTTCCCTGCTTTTATTCTCCTCGCTAATGCATGTCATATTTTTACCGCCCGAGGAAACGGGAACGCGTCCCCCGCTGGAACCGGCGCTGCGGGCGCGGAGCCGCACGCTCCCCTCCCCGAACGTGTCCGGCATCGCTCCCCTCCTGCTCCAGCTTCCTCCTGCTTTGCCTCGCCACGGAAAGCCCTTTGGTTTTCATGCTGCTCATGCGGAGAGGTCTGGCGTGAGCTGGAGCCGCTCAGAGCCGCGGGACGCCCGGTTCCATCAGTTTTTGTGGATCCTCACCTGGATCGGTGCCTGGCGAGTCCCGTGTGCCCCAGCGGGTACCGGTGCTCCGGGAAAGGCCGGGGTGGCTCTCACTTCGGCAGTCTCACTGTTAGAGTTGTTTAACACTGCTTTTCATCTTTAAAGTGCCGTGTAAACCTCCGTGCCCGCGCTGTGCTAGTCCACGTGCGGCAAGAGAGCAGGCTTCGTTTTGTATCGCAATGGACAGGAGATGTTACTTCTCAGAAGAGTGTTTCTGGTGTGGTTTTTTCCTTTTATGTTAAAGCATCAGTGCTTGGGTTTTGTCAGAGTGTCTGTTCAGGTGGTGACAAGTTTCCCTGCACCAGACAGGAGTAGGGTGGGATGTACTGGGGGCTGGATGTCTAAATCTGTCCTTCTGCTTCCCATGCACCGAATTCTCTGTGTACCACAATGTGGAAAGCAGCTCGTTCTTTTTGATGATATAATTAATGGTGGTGTAGTGGTTTAGACTAGCCAGTTTGAGTTTCCTGGCCAACACACCAAATAATGTGGTGGGTTTGGTGCTGACTAAAATCACCAGGGCACTTACTCATTTCTTGCTGTGAGATGTGGATTAGGAGAAGGGCAAAACAGGCTTAAAACTTAAAAGGTGTAAAGAAACTTTATTAACAGGACTATAAGAATAAGAAGCATCAGAATAAAACCTCCAGAACACCTTTCCTCTCGCTGCCTAACTTCTTTCCCAACTGACCATGTAGAGACAAAACCTGGGATGTTAAAGCAGTACCAACTACACAATGTCTTTCATCAGTCCTTGTAAGGAGAGTTTTCTCTTGTCGTGCCATGGAGATTTCTCCACAAGAAACAGTTTTCTCATGGATTTTCATTTCCACGAATAGCAGCTGCCCAGGAAAAAATTCTGCATCGTGAAATTCCTCCAGTTTTCACAGCCCTCCTAGAGGTGTGTCCATGGCCATAAACTCATGGGGTATTATTTTAAGGATGAGCTGTTCAAAGGCAAAGGTTCTTTTCATCTGTCTCTGTGATCATCTCTGGGAACAGAGGTTTTCTTCTTCTCTCCCTGGGGTCAAAGGGTCTTCATCACTCTCATCTCTCTCTGTTCAAGCATCTCATGGGATCACAGCTACTCCAGCATCTGCTTTGCTTCATTATGGATGCCTCTGCTCACATCTACAGCTTGAATACTTCAGCCCCCCATACTCTCTCATGAATTAAAGGAGATATTTCAGTGTATCATTGTCCATCTCCATGCTACTACCAAAAGAATTTTTCAGCCCAGCACTAAGGCATCTCCTCATCACCTTCCATCCAGGGCTTGACTCTTTCTTTACTGACCTCAAAGTCTTCACGTTGTCTTCTACGTGTCCTTGCTTTGTCTTTTCTCTCACCTGAGGGGAGAATCGTGGCCTACAGATCTCATCTGAGCACTGAAAGGGTCAATATCTCACCCAGGCCTGCAGATGGTTGTTGGCAGTGGCCACAGCAGTCATGGTCTCACCACAGCTCCGTTCCCTTCTGAGTCCAGAAGCAGAGATTTCCCAGATTTATGGTTTTTAAAATGTGGATCTCACAGAGGTGGATCTAATTTCTAAATGGCTCAAAATGCTGTCATTTCTCAGAACTATTGGCCTTAGCTATTGGCCTTTCCCAGGCACAGAGGAAGCTCCCAGCAGCTTCTCTCAGAGAAATCACTTCTGTGGCTGGTTTCTTACTTCTTCCCCAAATGCCAATCAATGCAAAACCAGCACAGCTGGCTAAGCAGAAATGCTGTGTGGACCAGGCCAGGTACAGAACACTTCTGTATTTCAGCAAGTGGAGACACCTGTAGAGACATTCTGTGCCTGGCTGATGCATACCTTAGCCTACCTAAGCAGCAGGGGAAACCACAATTGTAAACAAACTGCAGCAAAGTAATGGGTGTCACAATTTTGAAGGAACAATCTTCATTCTGAACCAAAACTAGGCACCTACGGTCATCAGAGGTGTATAAAGACGCACAAAAGCACACACACATTTGGGAAATGTGCAATAACACACAGTGTATGTAATTGTTGGTAAAAGATGAACTCTAAGCGTCTGTGAGCTTGTTTTCTCTCCAGACAAAGCTCAGCTTTTCCTGGAATGGGGGTGAGGGGAGGTGGGTGAACCTGGTTGCTGGCTGGGGTAAAACCAAACCACACCAATATTCATGTATTCACTGCTCAAACAGTGGGGCTAACACTGGTGTAAATGGTGTGCAGTGCCCAAAGCTGCCAGGCCTCTGCACTGCAAGTGTTTGTAGCAGTTGTGTTTCAGAGATAACTTGGGTTGCAGATGCTGCATTGTTAATGTAGGGAAATGAGAAGTGAAGGAGCTCCCAAATTCATCGTGGTCGAGGCTCAAATGTGTCAGGACTTGGGTGATGAAGCCCTGGTGGCTGTGAACAGCAATGCTTTCTCACAAGCCTCAGTCTGAGGTTTTGAGCAGTGAGGAGCTGGAGGCACAAGGTGAGCACTTCTGGATGCACGAGGAGACTTCAGCAGCAAATCTTGGCTAAGAATGGCCAGAGAGAGTTGGCTAAAACATGGCTAAAACATCCTGTTTCCTTTCTGACAGGGCAGGTGCTGATGGCAAGGCATGGTACCCATTGCTGGCTCTTGTTCTGCAGCATTTCTTGTATTTTCTTTGAAAAGCTGCAGGTCAAATGAGTTGACAAATGCTGGAGCTGTTTGTGCTGGGCATTAAAAATGTATGTGCCATAAATATCAGGGCATCACTAGAGCTGCCATTCTGGAGGAGGAAGTCACTGCAGGCTATCTCCTCTAGCCCACAGGGACAATGTGACATTTTTGTGCTACTTTAAACAAGTTCCATCACATCAGGTGAAGTGAATCATGGTAACCTCATGCATTTTAATGGAAATGTCAACTGCAATCTAGGAAAAGAAAACTTTCCTGAGATACCTTGTCCAATACCTTGGTGCTTGTCCATGCGTGGTGGTTTCTAAGGATTTCACTAAATCCACTGACTTATCTTTCATCCAGGTTAAGCCCATCCTGCTCCCTGCTGATGGGGGTGCTCCTCCTGCATGAAGGGTGGGAGTTCAACCTTTGGTGGAGCAGGGAGCTCCGTCCTGCCAGAGACAGACTCCCACACAAGCTATTAATTGATGTTTAGCCAAGGAGCAGCATAGTTTTAACAGAGGCAATGGCATCTGGGCCTTGCTGCATGTGTTCTCCTGCAAGCCTGTGTGTAGAGCAGCATAGCACAGTGTATAAACCAGGTTTTAATTCTCTCTAGATGATGCATGAGCACTAATGCAGCTGTGGGAGGCCATCCTGCAGCCTCAGCTGTGTGCCATGTGTTCTGGAGGCCCAGGTAAGTGGCAAATCCTCATTTCTGACATGTCAGGCCTCACACGCTTCTGTTTGAGTTGGCAGGTGCATTTGGAAGGGCTCCAGCTGCCAGAGAACACTCACAGAGGCGTAATGAAACTCAAAACATTTCTGAGTACTCGACAGGCAAGTGCGCTGCCATCCATGCTCTTGGACTGGAGTCAGGAGGATAATACAATAAGGGCACGGGATAAAGACATGATGAGCATGCACAAGGTCCATTGGAAATGCTTGAGTAGTTTCTTTCATAAATGGTATAACATCTGTTGTCGCTGGAGGCACAAGTTCCTGTCAAAGAGACACGTCATCCTTATAAATATTAATGGTGCATGGAAAGGGTGGTGGGTGTGAACTGTGGGTGTGAGGTTAATGGGTGAGCTGCTCCTTAGGCAGCAGTTCACTGCCATCAGACTTACTTCTACACTAACAAATACAAACTGCTCAGGTGGCAGAGCAAGAAAAAGCTTCCTTCCCCATCCTCCTCTCCCTGGGGTCCCTTCACAAATGAAATGTGTACTGTAATTAGTCTCTTGCCTTGTCACTGATGAAAATTAGTCCTGCTTGCAGAGCTGAGGAGAAGAGGAGTGAGGCTGGAGCTGAGGCTGTAGG